CACATCAAATTGCCATGCCGGTACTCGGTATATATTTTTGCTTTAAAAAGATCATGTGTTGAAGAGTATTATTATATCGTTTGGTATCTTAATTCGGCCCTGTCCTTAATTTGAGACCATTTTTTTTAGGTACAACAGTCTTGCGTGACATATCCATAAAGAAAGAAATTGAAACGTATATTTTGTATATGTATAATTTATATCAAAAAATCGAAAAAAAGGCAATTTGCACGAAATAAATAGTAATCAAAAGTTTGTTGATACACAATTCAAGTAAATTGGAGACACAATTTTGCAGAACACTTTGGGAACCCTCATACATTGAAAATGTTTTGACCTTTATGATTATACCCATTGATAAATAAGGTGATATTTATTAAATTCATTTTTTATATATAGTAACGGCTACATAAGTGATGTAAGCACGTTAATAAGACGTAACGTCTTATTAACGTGCTTACATCACTTATTATAACACTGCACGTTTGTAACGCCAATTTTCATTGGATAATCGTGACGTTTATATAGTTTTATATACACGGCTGCTGTCGATTCGTGAAAAAATCTTACTTTTTTTGTCTAAACATGAAGCTTGCTGTATTATAAATTCGTTATAAAGATTGTTGACAGGTTATATGGCCGTATATAAACGGCTATTTGCAATATAACCCTCGCCTAGCGGCTCGGGTTATATTTACAAATAGCCGTTTGTATAGGGCCATATAACCTGTCAACAATCTTTATAACTAATATGCTACATGTCATAATAAAATTCTGAAAGGTTCACCGTGCCATTAAAAAATTACAGCTTACAATCAGAACAACGAAAGATTGCAATAGTTATTGTTTTAACAGATAATTGATAATCTTACTTTAAAATGAATAAACATTGATTAGAAATATCAATTTACATTATCATCGTCATTAAATCCAATTTGTTATAAAGAAAAAGTCACGGAAAAAGGGGATCACCCTCGAAAACAACAAACATACAAGTCTCGTATATATTTTATAATCGTAGACCTTATTTGACATTTTATAATCGTAGACCTTATTTGACTTAGTTCGACGTATCCCCCCCGCCTCTGGCGCACTTTAATGATTCATTCGATGATAATTTACGATAAGGTCTTTGCTGATTGCAAAATACTTATGACTCAAAACGAAACATGATCAGATTCATTTTCCTGTTTAAAAGTACAAGCTCGTGTTAAAACGTTTAGATCGCAGTTAACATAAACAGAATGTGAGAAATTTATGTAGATCTCATAAATCTAAACACTTCAGTTATCAATGATAACTTCCCCGCACTTAACGCGCTCACAACATAGGAGTTGATATTATAAAAGCAACGTCACGCGATAATATATCGAATGACAAAGTCAACAGAATATACGCACTTTGTTCCCTTACTGATGAATAAACACGATTCTATTACATTTGACGAGAAATAAAGTTAAAATTGAATTAAGGGTAACATTACCAAGCATCTTTAACGTAGAAATGGATGTACCATACCGAGGTTACTGCTGACGTTGTCAAAAACTTTGCATAAGTGTTTTATGCGGCATAGGTGAAAGAAATGTTAATATAGATAAGCCAACCAATACAATTTAAACAGTGTATTATCAGGTATATGAAAACTAAGTCATAAGTTGAAATTAAATACATAATTTAATTACTATGATAAATATGAAAACAATAATGTTAATGACGATAAAACTATTGAACACCTTGGATCAACTTGAAAATAAGCATTTAATGTATGGCATTAGCTCTTAGAATGGTGGTTTCTATTTTATTACAAGAATATATTAGTACGAAGGTTGTATAGCCCATGAAATGAAAACACAGACACGATTGAACGTTTTAGTAAATAAGTCCGTCAGCTACCATGCTACTTTTTACATATTAACTCAAGTCATTCGATTTATACAAAGTACAATTACGAAAAACTCGTTTCATCTGTAAAATATTATTCTAATTTCATCAGAAAAACTTATGCGCATACGAGGGTTGTCCCAATATTCTGTGACAAGATTGATTAAAAGCTAAATAAAACAGGTGCGAATTTGATATTTTAATATGTTATAAACCCATATAATTAAAACATTTTTACAAATTTTCATAGATAAATATCAACAAACAACAAAAATATGCCATAAACACCATGGCAACTAACTGAATCGCGGCGCACGTCCAACGTCAAAGACGGCGTTAAATCTATATAAGGCGCCTTTCTCAAATACTTTCAATGGCTTTCAACGCAATAATGGTACCCATAAATCGTCAATTTCTGACTTAAATCATGTGGTTGTTAATGTCTGTTGAATGTTTGGATGGCATACATTAATTTTTGCCATACGCGAACTTCCGGTCTCGTTACTCCTGTTTTTAGCTGTAGGAAATAGGCGACGAAAATCGGTCTTCCTATCCGTGTTTTCCTTATTTTCGCTTTTTGTAGCGCAAAACTCTGGTTCCGTTCATGCCTTTTGTACACAAATGCTCAGAATATGTTGCTAAACTGTTATATTTGGTATATTTGTTGAAAATCGTTACATGTGTCATCTCGAAATAGTCATGAAACCTGAGTGACATGTTCACTGCGCCGCAAATTCTTCGAACGTCGCCATTTTAACTTTCCTATTTTATATGAGATATTTTCATTTATTCGTATCTTTTTCGTTTTTTAAGTTATTTAACTACAATATTCAGAGATGATTTAAACATATCAGTAGAGGAAGTCAACGTGACATTGTGCAGACACATCATCAGATATTTCAGTCTATTCATAACAAAATGTAAATTATTTGACGTGCGCCGGCAACTCAAACCAATGTCGTTAATACTGAAAATTTCTAAGTAACTAGGGTAAATTTTTTGTAAATGATTTGTTGTAATGTTAAATAATAAACTTAACGGTTATATGTGTGAATTATTTTCTATTGGCGTTAAAAATGAACCGGCTATAAAATTTGTCACGGACTTTTGGGACAACCCTCGTATTATAAAAATACAGTTCAACTTTGCGCAATTCCTTGGTTGAAAACATAACTCGACATTCTACATGCTTTGTATTTTTGTTTCAGTGACTCTCAGTAATCCTTCACTTTATGTAATTGTTATAGTACACGAAACGAGTTTGTTACGAGGATATAACACTTGCTGGGGCAAAATCAATGGATGTTTCTGCTAAAAAATGGCGAGGCCGTTTGGCCGTGACAATTTCTTTGCAGAAACATCTCGAGATGCCGCCCATCCAGTGTTATATCCTCGTAACTAACGAGTTTTATATACTATAAATGTTTTTATCGCAATGGCTTAATGTTTTCTTTTTTTGTAATAGAAATAAATAAATAAATAGATATATAAATAAATATAAATAAATAAATAAATCATTAATTACATTACAGTTATTTATGATAATACAGTTTTTTCAAGTTGTTTTCGCTGCCGCAAGAAAAAAGATATACAAAAGACACTCAATGTTAGAGGCGGATTGTAAACTGTTACCAATGTTGATTCAAGATTAAAGGGCTTTTTCAGTGGAAATAATTCATTCAGCGGATGTACCTTTTGATTAAATGAGAGTGAATTTCATTTAATAAATTATCTTTGTATAATAATAATAATAATAATAATAATAATAATAATAATAATAATAATAATAATAATAATAATAATGATAAATCTATAGATAATTATACCATCGACAATAATTATTATATACTAGCAGATTTGGAAACATATATAATTATTATAATACTAATAACAAATAATAAAAATTATATTAATTAATAATATAGTAATTTCTGAGAAAACCTTCTGGCAAATAGGTGATCAATAAATAAATAACCCTCTGGCAGCAAAAGGGTAAATTTATTTTATTTTATTGATTCCATTTTGTTTGCTACTGGGAATGTTCGTTACCACTGCCCCATTGGAGCCTCTGTGAAAAAACTACATTGATATATACAAGGTGAGGAAAAAACTCAGTCGAGATTTTTTCCTATATGAATCAATGAAAAAATGTACTGCTATATATCAATACAGTTTTTAAATGCTCAATGAAATATACTGATTATAATGGGTTAGTAAGAACAAAGGAAAAGTTCCAAACCATGCGATAATTTTTATTATATCTCATAGAAAGCATGAGGCAAGTAAAACTATTTTTCAGTCTAATAGTAGAAAGTTGAACAATTTATGTATATTATTCAAATATGACTTCTGTCTGAATACATTAAGTAAACATTGTAATATAAAAATTACGAAATACTATAAGACAAAACTACTTTGTAAAATTTACTATTCTATATGTAAATTTTCTGTAACCATAATTGTTATATTTTAGAATTTCACCGACAATAAACTTATGTGACAAATCGTTGTTTTCTATAATTTTGGTCATTTATTGGTAAAAAGTAAGCATCCTTATCAACAATGCAAAATGTATCATACTAGATGCAATTTGTCATCACGATTTTTGTTTGAGATTACACTGAAACGTATTAATGAACATATATCCCCTTTTGCAGGAACACAACCTCTGACAACTACGGAAGAAAATTGTCTCTACGACTCATTGGGTAATTGGTTACTTCCCTAGAGAGCGATTTTCTCAATCAAACTTTGATATGTATTGTGCGTGATGTAATAGCATCTGATAAATTGTAAGATTATACTTTGACTGTTATAATACAATGTAGTATGAATAGAGTTTTCGTGCACAAAGAGTGAAGTAAGGTCGCATACTTAGATACGTGACGTTTGTTTTTACATTAATTACAACATCGTTTTCACATGTGAACTGCTGGGAGCTTATATCCGCATTCAGATTCACAAGTACTTTATTTTGCTTACGATACTTATAATGACCAAATCTGTTATTGTTTATTATTTTTAAATTTCTCATGTAACACATATCAGGAAAATTCATACCATGTTGTTAACGTATTTCATTTTATTTTTTGCAAATTCATTGGTAATTAAAGGTAAGTTATTTCGGATATTATAAAGTATAAAGGTTTAGAATCAATCATTTAACTTAATTAAGTGTTTGTTTAGAACTTGCTTCGGTTAAAAAGAATTAAAACTCGATTATGTGTATTTAATTAGCATAAATGTATTTACATTAAATAGTTAACATATAAAAGTTTAAATAGTTTAATGATGAATGATAAACAAAATAAAGAGGCTACGTGATAGCGATTTATATCTAAGAGTAATTTCCTTTATATTTTGAAATAAACTGGGAAATACTTGAATAAAATAATATGACTACACAAAAACGTATCATAACAACATCACGAACATGCCGCAATGAACATTCTATGATAAACGCTGTATGGACACATCTGCAAATGTAAATAAATCTAAATTAAACAATTTGTATATATTAATGATGAATTCGGCTAATTTGTACACTATATAGTATACATTATCACCTATAAATGGCCTATTTCCGTTTTGCTATACAAAATGACTCCATATAACAATTGTTAAGTAAATATTTGGTTTACGTTTAAAATGATCTATGTTTACATCCGCAAAGTTGTTTTTAAATGATCTCCTTAATTTCATATTTATTTTGATATAAACAATAATTTTAGTTGATATTGCACTGAAATTGTTGATTTTTGGCAAATAAAATGTATCGCTATCTATTAGTTCTTATTTTAGTTAATTCAACGCTTTTACAAGGTAAGTGAATTTGGTTTCTAGTGGTTTGTTTGTAATTGTAATTTCATTACATCGAGAGTAATACTTAAAATCGGTATTGCATTGATAACGGTTTGAAAATCTATTAATTAACAAAATTTAAACAAATACATTTTTGATAATATTGATTTCTTATGTAGATATACAATTTTGATAGTTTTTCACAACAGCTTACAGACCCGATGGTTATATCGGTTGCTTTAGGGACTGGAGTAATAGAATTCTGACAGGGAAAAGCCGTATTTCAAAGACAAACAATAGCGGAGATGAATGCATTAAATTTTGTAAAGCAGATAGCTACAGATATGCTGGAACTGAGGTAAAGCCTTTTAAAATTGTGTATTTAGTAACATTAATGACATTTTATTCATTTTAGTTAACTGGTTATATAACTAGCATCAACATGACAACACAATGTACTAATTGACGTAGACGAGCACGTTTCAGTTGGAAAATAATATTGTTACTCTGTATTATATTAGCATATTCCGTGATCTTTTACTAAATAAGTAACTAAAGCGCACGATTGGCAATATTATAAGCTTTTCATGTATAATTTCATTTATATGTCTCTTGTTGCTAAGCAACATTTTTATGAAAGAATATAAACTTACAGAGCAAAGACGAGTGTTTTTGTGGTCATACACTGAGGGTTCAAATGAAGGTTTCTGATTGCACACATGTTTGCACAGGCAACATTAATGAGATATGCGGAGGGCACTGGAAAATATCAGTGTACGATATTTCACGTACGTGTAATTATTAATGTTTATTAGCAGACGTCGTCATTTCTCAAAGATATACATGAAAGTCACCATAGAATTTTATAAACTGGCCATAGATTCACATTCTAGACACATTAAGAATTAAAAACTAATGAAAACATATAGATAGTTTGACCCATTTTTATATACATTGAAAATGCATGGTACCAATTCTATACCTGTACCGGGCATGAGAATAACGGTGATGTTTTAAGTAAACTTGTTATAATTTGTTGATAATTATTATGATTAAAACTGCAATTAGTCTCATTGAAAATGTTATAAATAGATGTCAGATGTTTCATACGCTGCTATATGCATGGTAACGTCATGTATCTTCTTTTGATGTTAGATGATCTGTCCAACGAAAAATTGGAAAGTGACAAGTTTCTGTTGGTAGAAATAAAATGAAACCACCAAACAATTGATATACCATACGAATGTTCTCATAAGCAAACTTAAACAAACCAAATCTGCAATTTAAACCTTTTTTCATTTATCTTCAAGACTTTGCCTTTTGCAAGATTTCTTGTAATTCAGTAATCTATTTATTCCATAGTTATCAAACAAGACACAACTACTGCTATGTATTCGTCCCGAACAACAAAGGAAATGAAATTGACCACAAGAAAAACAACAAAAAGTGATAAGACATTGACATATGTACGTACTAGTAAAACAAGTAGTAATGGCTCGACTCAAACTATATCTAACATTACATTAGAAACAACGCAATACCCATATTCAGGGCTTAAAGGTAACATCACATTATTTGAATTATTACAATAGTAGATTTGTAACCTTATAAAAGTAAAGTAATGTAACTGAAAGAATTTTCTGTTTTTGAACTAATAAGTATACCTTTAATGATTTATTAAAAAAAAAGAAATAAAAAAGAAAAGAGAACGCTTATAAGTAACCTTATTTTTAGTTTTATCGTGAAATAGTTAGATTATGGAATAATAAAAATCTATGACAAAAATTATATAACATTTTACCCGACATTTTTTTAACAATTCCACTTTACAAAAATGACTTAACATAGTATGTGTTAAATAGCAAGGAATATTGTTATTTACTCGTATTACAATTTATGCACTGCTATGTGTCATTTATACTAAGGTGATTACGAATGATTGTTCTTACTGTCCTTAACCACATGGTTTAAGATATTAAAATTTGTCCTCCTATTACAGAGGGCTCCAGTAAGCTATTGGTAATCGTTTATGTAGCAGCACCTTTGAGTTTCGTGGCTTTAATACTTACAGTATTGTTAATTGGCTTTGCAAGACGAAGGTAAAATTAATATTAGCAGTATTCGTTGACTTGCTTGAGTCTAAGCAACTCTATGCTTCTATCAACAGTCATTTTGGTCAATATCAGATTGCAAAATATGAATAATTTAATTTAATTTAATTTATGAAATGTATAATTATATTTGACTGATCACCATTAAAATTAAGTAAAAATTACATTTTACTATAATATCAAGTTTTTAGATGAATTAGTGATAAATTCTCCTATAATAATATAATTCTGCGAATAATATATATAAGAATGAATTTGTTTACCATCTTAAATATTTTATTTCATTTTAGACGAATTCGCAAAGAGGAAAAGAAGACATGTATTGAGAAAATAAGTCAAGGAACTGGCTCTATTCCGAATATATATGCTAACATTATTGTTTCAACAGGTGAGCAATCGGATAATAATAAGAGTGAAAATTTACAAGGAAATGTAAAGTCAACCATGAACGAAAGACAACCAAATGTTCGTTATGAGTATAATGAGAAAAACCAACATGTATACATTGACGACATTGACAACTACGATTCTATAAGGCAGCATAACAAAAACGTTGAGCAGATTAAAAACCCTTATCATCTAGTTGCAAACAGTATAAATGATGAATCGTACTCAGTTTGTTATCAGTTTTCAAATGGAAACAAAGATGCAGAAAACACATATGCACATATCAAAGACACTGACAGTCCTCCAAATAGTACATATAAAGCTGATATTGAAGTTAATGATTATAATACATTACAGTTAAAGGCAAATCCAGATAATGAAACTGATATAAACACCTATGGTGCAAATGAATCTGAATATGATACAACATATCCTACATCGTCCATGAGGATGGACGAGGAAAACTATTCGCATATGGTCGAGGTCGCGTTAGAACAATATGACAGTACTGTAAAAGCTGTTGCTAGGGATTACAGATGCTACGATGACAACGAATATTCTTCAGTTGAAACACAATTCAAGACAAAAGACAAATAAAAGAAATGAACTGATTGTTTAAAATTTCTTTATTGGCAGGCGATTGAAAACATGATACTTCTTAAATGCAGCAATTTAAAATAAATTAATAGTCTCTATTCGAAAGTTTATTTATTGAAATTTATCTAGAAAATATTTCTTAACTGAATGTTATATGGTGGAATAATTAATATGCTATACGATTATATGAATATTATGCCGCACGGCTACATGGATAATATGCCATACGAGGACTAGTATATGCATATTATGTTTCACGATTATATGAATACCATACCTTATGGTTAAATGAATATAATGTTTACATGATTATTCAGATATTAAGCTATATGGATATATAAATATTAGTATAATGTTGTACGATAAAGTTACACGATTATGCCAATCTCAAATAAAATAAAGTAGAATGATTATTTATGAATCAGTTTATATGTTTTTGATCGAATTGTCAAAAATATTGTCTTCCTTATATCTTTATGTACACTGTTTACTGAAAGTTTTATGTGCAAATTGATACAACATGATTGACATCAAAATAACATATAAAATGACATGAACTGGTCTCATTTTGTTTTCCTTGCTCTGATTATGAAGTGAATCGGATTAAACCGGTTGTCACAATACATGCAAACCCCATTTCTAATAATACTTGGTTTAAATAAAGCTATTGATTCTTTAGCCATAATAAATTGCTTTACATATTTATTAAAAAACTAAATTATATATATGCAAGACGAGAAAAAGAGACTAATTGAGAGTTTGTTCGTGTTTATTAATTCTAACTTGCCAACGTATTTGACATCATTCAACCATTGACCATTTCTAAAGGCTTATTTTTTGATGGTAGAGAATGGTCGACGCTTCAAAAAAAGCCTTAGCTTCTTTATCAGTATGCGGCCAGCTTTTTTTTGTTTGAAAATAAACCACAAAATACAAATCGGTTACAGTTTTACTTTAGGTCTTTAAAACAAGCTGCCTGTTATCTTTTATTATTTATGTAATCCAGCTAGATTTTCTACCGAATGTTTTCATTTAAAGTCCCTAGATTTAATATTATCATGAATAAAATATGGGGAATCTGTGGCAAAGATTAACATTGTTGTATCATTGTTATAAATGAAATATGGGGAATCTGTGACAATATCATACATGCATGGGAAGTGAGTGGGACTGCTGATAAAACCAATAACCCTCAACATCTTTGAATCAAACATCAGATGACACATATTTCTGTTAACTTATTGATTTGGATATGCGAAATGGAAACCTGTTCAACTTTGATTTGGTGTTATAGAATTCATCAATTCGCTTGACTATATTTTGTCGCGTTGACGGGTCTCTAATTTACCAAGGGTGAAAGTTTTAACGTGTTTTTATTTGACTTCTGTCAGATCAATATACTTATTTTCACAAAAAAAAACACGTACTATAAATGAAGTCTATTTTGTGCATTTCACAACATTGATCAATTTAAAAAAGGTAAAAAAGAAAAAAGAAACTACTACAGGTAAAACTCATTCTTCTCATTGTGTAAGATATACTTGTATACTTGTATGCTTTGCTTCAAGTACATATACCTACCATTTCTAAATATATTGCTATTGACCAATTGATCAACATAATAACCATTAAATACATGTATGTACATAGAATATTCATTTGAGCATAAAATATCAATATTTCACATTTATAATTCTGTTTCACGAATTTTGTTAAACATCTGTACTTCAATTCAGTAAAAATTTAAATGTATGATGAATTGCACATTCACTTGAAAAAAATCAATTGGTTAAACGCACTAAATGCCCTTTCCCAACACCGTTGATTCGAACACAAATAACCAATGTTATTTGCACGTAATGCTTACGTTTATTATGATGAGTGTTTGCATCCGCAATTAAACTATTTTCTAAACGTCCTTGTTATATTAATATAAAATTCAGCAAACTTGATATTTTTATTTAATTCTGTATCGAATGTGTTTAAATATGGTTGATACGATGCATCGATATCTTGGTTTTTTAATTTCAATGCTTTCGCTTTATACCACGTGTTCAAAATGTAAGCAAATTTGAATTAGAATCGAGTTCAACATTGAAATAAAAAAAATAATTATTTAAATGGATGGTAAATAATATAATTATTTAGGTTTTAAGTAATATCAGTTAATACTATAGTATTCCATAAGATTTGAATAAGAATTCTTTACATTATAGCTTACACGCCAAACGGTTATATTGGTTGCTTTACGGACTATAATGATAGAATTTTGGACGGGGACAGTCGCATTTCACAGACTAACAGTGGGGAAGAATGTATTCAATTTTGTAAAAGTAATGGATACAGATACGCTGGTACTGAGGTGACCATATTTGAATTGTGAATAATTAATACTTATGTAATACTGCTAGTACTTGAATAAAATTAAAAATGAATTAGTCACAATAAACAAATGTGCGATGTTAAAATAAAAAAAAACTTTGACTTATTGATTGTTAAAATTAGATATAGTCAACAATGAAAATATAACATATAACTAATTTGAAATCTTTTTTGAAATTAATATTAACATATCTAAATCAATAAGATAATTCACTAAGCGAATCTATGAAGATTTTGAAGTAATAATTTTATATCATTATTCTTTTGTACTACTTTTATTTTAAACTAAAATATCGTTAGAAGAATTGTAGTCTGGGTAAGTCTAAACTTAGAATAAATTGAAAAATTCGGTAAATAATATGCTACGAGAAAGTGACCATGAAAAGCTATATTTTGCACCATATAAATCGTAAAGTTTTTAAAATGTAACTTTTTTACAGTTTTGGGATGAGTGTTATTGTGGCAATCAAATACGACAAAAGATTCTTACCAATGCCTGCACATTTTCTTGTGCAGGTAACATTCATGAAATATGCGGAGGTTATTGGAGTATATCAGTGTACGATATTAACCGTATGTATGTTTACTAAAATGTATTATAAACTGTCCCACTGAAGGCAAATTGAGCATAATAAAAATAACCGCGAAATGATAACATTGTGTTCAAGGAGGCTCCAAATGATATTTTTGTCAATAATATCCAAAAGAAAATATGGCATTTTAATATGCTATTGCGATCTGTTTCAAATCTGATGACCTCTGCATTTTATATATACACATTTTATTCAAGTATAATCTTAGTCCTAATGCATACATACTATATTCATTTCCACACTAAGGGAAGTTTATGTTAATACAAGTTTTTAAAATAAGGACTGAATATTATAAATTATTTTGATCAATAATGCTTCATTAAAATTTGCTTTCTAGAAATAACTACTAAAACGTTCTCGTCAACGACAAAAAGGAAAACGACAACAAGACGAACAACAATCAGATTGACAACTTTAAAACCAACAACATCAACATTTATTAGTCCCACTTCTGCACGTACAAGTGGCCGAAATATAAACTTAACACAAACTACAAGTAACAAGTAACAACACATTAGAAACAACAATGTATCCGGAGCCAGGAATTGAAAGTAAGAGCACCTTGAATATTTCTTTAGAATAAGATCAGGCGATTCAGTTTTAATTTTAATGATTAAATATTTTAAAAGATATTGAAAAACGATTTCATGATTAACAATCAAATGCTCTCAGATAACGTTTTATTGAAACACTACATAATGAGACAAAAAATAACAGAATTTACAACTAAACTGTTATAAAATGTCAACATTAACGAAGAAATAATTGTTTAAGTTAGCAAAAGTTGTCGTGCACAAATATTAGTTTTCCTGATTAAACCAGTGTTAAAGATACAGCCATTCCACGCTGACCTTTTTGAATGCATGAATATAAAATCCAAGAATGTATGACTTACTTTGTAAACGACTGTTTCAAATCTAAGCAAAATATACTTTATATGTTATTGCAGATGATTCCAGTACAACAATGGTAATCGTATATGTCACAGCACCTCTTGGTTTTATTGTTCTACTGCTTTTTACGCTTTTAGGAGTTTATCTCAGACAAAGGTAAACGATCTAAAAGAGTATTTCTAAATGTTCATTGTTATGTAAAACCCAATAAATTTCGCGTTTCTTTGAGCTGCTAATAATAGAAAACATCTTAATTCAAGTTCTCCACATTATAAAGGATTTATAGATACAACGAATGATAACTATCTGTCTTTTAATTTATTCTTTATGTTCATTATTTGTTTGTCTTTCTAATCGTCGGAGTAAGATATTAACTTAAAATAATGAAGATGTTGCCATACACTTATTGGCATTAATATTTATATCATGTATGAATCATAAACTTTCTACGTAAGTTAAAGATACGTTTTGAACTTTCCAATGTTCAATAATTATTTATTTTCTTGAATAATTTTAGACATCTACGTAAGAAAAGGATCTGCTTTGAGAATATCAGTCGAGGAACTGGTTCGATGCCAAATATATATGCTACAATAATTGAGTCACAGAGTGTTAAGAGAGAAAAGGTACAAGTTAACGAAAATCAAGTCGTAAACGAATGCTCCAACATAACTAGTGCCAATGATAAAAAATTCAAACCTTTCTGTCAAGAAGTTAACGAAAACGATTACTATGATTCACTAAATAAGCAACAAAGTAACGCTGGTGCGACTGAAAATACCTATGATAAAGTACCGAACCATATTAAAGACGAATCTTACTCAATTTGTTCTAGTAATCACTTTGCAGATGAACACAAAGATATAAACAACGTGTATTCACATATAGAAAATACTGATAGGCAAACACACAGCAAAGGTTGCGCTGATATTGAAGACAACGTGTATAACACATTGCAGTTAAAGACAAGACAAGAACTTGAAACCAGTAAAACTGTTGCAGACCTATCAGATTACAATACCATATGTGCTTCAAGAGCAACGACAGTGGATAATGGGGATTATTCTCATATAAATAATGTAGTGTCCGGAGAATTTGGCAGTAAAAATAAATATGTTGATGATGGTAACATATATTACAATGACAATGAATATGCTTCAGTTATAAAGAATATCAAGAAGTAGCAAATAGTAACGGGAGAATGGAAATTGTACTAAGCACAATAAGCAAATGCTTTATTTCAAAGACATTGAAGGAATAGATCACAAACGATTTTGTCATAGTATTCATGTTTTAAGGAAAGTTTAATATTATGTACAATGTACATTTAATGTAATTAAAAATATGCTTGGTATTAACGGTGTCTTTCTTAAACTAAAGAATATCAAGAAGTAGCAAATAGTAACAGGAGAATGGAAATTGTATTAAGCACAATAAGCAAATGCTTTATTTTAAAAACATTGAAGGAATAGTTCACAAACGATTTTGTCATAGAATTTCATGTTCTAAGGAAAGTTTAACATTATGTACATTTAATGTAATTAAAAATATTTAAAGCTTGGTCTTAACGGTGTCTTTCTTAAACCTCAGATCCCCATTGAAAAATTCCATTTAATTTAGTTTCGCCCATAACCGCCTCCGTGGTCGAGGGGTTAGAGTCGGTGACTTCTAATCCAATAACCTCTCTGGCGTGGGTTCGATCCTCGGGAGATGCTTTGGTAGTCTAGTACTGGTCTAACTCTCCGGGAACAATGGTTAGGAAACTACCCGCCTATATGACTGAAATACTGTTGGGAAAAGGCGTAAAATGAAACAAACAAACAAGTTTCGCCCATTGTTTTCTCATTTAGGGCACACAAATTCCTTTTATTTGGGACTATATGCCGCTTTTCACGTTGAAGGTTCCATATAAACAGCCATATGAACACATCTGCTGATGTTCTTAATTCAAAATTTCACAATTTTCATGTATTAACGTTGCTTAATTCTGCTTTAGCCGGAACTAGGGGGCGTGGACGGTAACTTGCACTTTCCATTGCAGTCCATTACAGGCTCAAACAAACCGATCCTGCAGCATTGTCAATGTTGACGTGTTTTGTTTTCTTTAGGGATTCTGTTTTTCTCTATGATCTTGAGCTGACCGTTAACATGTGTTTTTTGAAATGTCACGTCATTCAATGGCTTGCCGGACCATAAAGCTAATCTAAGCTATCTATCAAATTCATCAAACAAACAACAACGAAGTACTTTTTAAATGTAATGTAATTTCCTAAATTATCAAAAAATATAGAGAAAAACAGAATCCCTAAAGATAGCCCAACACAACAAAATTATCAAAAATTGAGTACTTATATATTCACGTTTGCATATGATTTATCGGATCGATGCCTATAAAATAATGAATTTGGACCTGACATTTATATGGCAATATCTACTTCTAAATAGACAAAAATGAATATATTTATCGTTATTGCTATACATTATTATAAATCACTGTGTTCAAACTTTAACATTGTGTCAACATTAAAGATATCTTAAAAAAGGACTTTACGATTTAACTGCCTGGTAAAGCACGGTGCGGCAATTTTCATTATTAAGAATCAAAAGGAAATAGTAACCATGATCAGTAACCCAGCTATATGGTCTAGTCTTGAAACAAATCATTAAGCTAAACATTTTTATTCATTTGGCCATCTTTTTATGTAATATCTTATTCAATTACACAAAGTTTTGGCAATGTCAATCTGCCCATCTTCAGATAGTAAGAATAACGATCTTTATATCCCTCTATTAATGTACTTTATCGTATCGGCAATGTCCACCGTATCCTCCAATTGACGTCATTCAAGGGCGACGACTTCAATCCAGTCTTAAATGAAAGGGTCTATAAATGATAAAAAAATATTGTCTCGTTAATTTTACATCAGCTATAAATTCATTAGATTAAATAATAATAATAAAAATCATTTCAAGACATGAACGCAACAACATCTGAGCTTTCGAAAATATTTGATAAAGTACGTACGAGCATGTTAAACTACAAGTATCGACGTACTAAAATGATTTCTCAGTAATTGTTGTTTCTTTTTAGTAAAAGCAAATGAACACAGTTTACATTTTTAAGCCACTTATAACAGTTTATATCACAATAAGAATAATATGGTTGATAGAAGCGTCAAAGAGTTACAACAGTTTAAAAACTTAAAATTGGAAAAAAACAAATTGTGTAAAAGGGTCATTTAAGAATATTTTGTACCGTTTGTACAACATTATCGTTGTTGTCTTGACACATTATCAGTCACATGATCACTTAAATCCATGATGTCATGGTTACTTACCTACACATAGAATCGTACATTTTGTGTTTTTGGCTTGCAGCCATGGCTGCAAGACATTTGTTTTGGAAAACTTGTTCCGGTTAGGTGGTTTCCTGCTTACATTTGTTAGTGCATGATTGAACTGAAAACCAGCTGCAATCGTGCCAATCGCAACTTTCCGTCACTCTTCGGATAAATGATAATAGCCGATGTAGTTCCTAGGGATTAAGCGATGATCGAGTATAATCGAAAATTGATCGTTTATAGGAAATGATTACGATGATCGATTACAAGTTTAATAATCGATCATCGGTAATCTTTTTTCTTTCTGTTACTTTAAGTGACTCACTGTATTATAGCAACACTCTCAATTAAAGCCATCTTTGGTTTACATTTTAATTTTTCATTCAAATGAATATGAAAGCATTCTGGTGACTATGTGTGACCATGGAGTTAATAGTTTACTATGAGACATTCAAATTTAAAGATATACTATGTTCTAATTTGACATTAGAAAATTAAGAATTTCTTCACACTCTCTTTGAAATATAAAATAAACATGTTTTGACTTCACACAAAAAAGATATCTTATGAATATAATTATTCTACACACTATTGTATAGGGGTCTCAATATGAATATAATTAGTGTCATTAAAAAATCTTGGCAGTTTTATTAAGAAAGGACCAGAAGTATTTGACCCCATTTAAATAGGTTTCAGCTTCGGAAGTTCCATACATAGTTTATTTCTTCTTTTATTCAAATTGAGACAACAATTTCATAGATTTTAATAAATTTATTTAATTAAAATATTTTACTCAAGGATCTTTAAATTAGAGTATTTCAGCTGACAAAGTGGTAGTTACACAAAGAACAGAATATTAATGGAATTCTTATAAATATTAAAGCATGATATGTACATGTACCTATTTATTTTTGTTAATGTAAATACTTCGATTATATAATCGATGATTGATCGAAAAGGGTTGTTCGATTATTTTCGATGATCGATTATGATTTTTGTCCGATTAAGAAACCCTAGTAGTTCCGATTGCAATCGTGACAGTTCGGGCGATTCCGTCATACTGCGGAATCAGACGTAGTAATATTACGGAAATCTAAGCTATTTTAGTTACTTCGGTAATTCCAGTTTGTTTATATAAATAGGATTTCTATTTTTACTTGATTCCGTTTCAATTCTTTTTCAAGACGCAAAAGTTAGTTTCTTTTATAATTGGATTTTGTCTTTATTAGTTTTATACAATAGAGAATGTTTACTGTAGTAGTATTCCGTCTCCAAAGGCCGGTCCTGCTTATCAAAAGATCGTGACCGAATCACACAGAATATTAGTGCATGATCAAGTTATATTTAGATCTACTGACAGAGTTTAAACGTCTTGGTGAGGTAATCTAAAAATAGCCCATGCATATCATTAACCTTGCCACGTGCTGATCTCCTGTGTTGTCGATCATAGATATTTTAGGTGTAACATAGTTGATACATGCTTATTAATTGGTACCACATAACGAAGTCTTTTAGTGCATTTACTTGTCTCTAAAGCTGCTATATAAATGAAAGTAGCAACTGCCAAAACGAAAAAAACCCTACATATCCCTTTAAAAGTGAAACTTTTTTTTCGAGAAAAAAACTAAATAAACCCTTTATGATATACAAATATGTAATTAAAAAAAATGTGATAATAAATTGAAACAAAAAATAAAACAATTTTAAAGGGAAGGGATGATGGCACAACTGAGCAAGCCTTTCCTTTTAAAAGGAAACTTTATATATTATTACTGAATATAGCCCGGTTACAAAATTTAACCTCCTGTAAATATCGAACTCAGTTTACTAAACCAGTGCTCTAACCATTGAGCTAAGGAGACATTCGGAAGACTCAGAGAGCAGATCAAGTTTTGGGGAAAATGTGAAACAAAAATGTCTACTGCTTGGTATGTTAGAGCCAGACCAAAGAAAAAACTGGAAAAAATATACCACATATTAAGTGTACTCTTACAACAGCACGAAACATGGAGTAGGTAGGTTTTGGTAGGAAGTCCAAATTATCGATACATTCCCTGTTTGAACAAGTTATGAGTGACATACCAAACAAATCTATAGATACTCACATTCAAAATAGAGAAAAAAAGAATCCCTAAAGAAAGCACAACACGGCAAAATTGAAAATGTTGCAGGCTCGGTTTGACTGAACCTGTTAATGGACTGTGCAAACTACCGTCCACGCCCCCTAGCACCGGCTTAAGCAGAATTCAACATTTAAACACGAAAATGGTGGAATTTTGAATTTAGAAACATCCGCAGATGTGTTCATACGGCGGTTATCATGAAACCTTCAATGTGACACAGTAGTGCCTTTCCACGAAAAGCGGCGTATGGTTCCCAATTAAAAAAATGCGTGTGCCCTAAACGAGAAAACAATGGCCGGAACTAAATAAAATTGAATTTTGAAAGGGGATATGAGGTTATGAAACCTGCATATCACAGATAAGACGCCAAAAGACAATTTAAAAAGCAGGCAACATATCCTAAGTGTGATTTGACAGTATTCAAGTAGGAATATTGGAACCAACCAAGTTAAAAAAAGGCCAAATAGAAGAAACTAAAAATACCACATAGCATGTACACAGAACAATTATGTCGAGCTGAACGATCTTCAAGGATCGAAAATATAACATCATTGATTAAATGTACGGGGATACTTTTTACAGCCGCCACACGGCACAAATAACACTGATGTGACCTGAAGTTAACAATGCAAATTACAGGAAATCGTCAAGGAAGTCACAGAAAAATATGAAATAGACAAAAGACTTACGTATGATAAGAAAGCATAAGCACCAAAAGTAAATGAAGTAGATGAATTTCTGATTAAAGTTTAGCATTTTGAGATGGTAAATATTAATTTTAGAAAGGAGCTTAAACTGTAATCAGCCAACTTCTTGTGTTTGAAGTCAAACTGAAACAAGTGAGTGAAGAAATTATACAGACTGTTTTTTTTTTCTCTCTAGGGTTCATTAACA